TTATTCTTTATCTTCGCAAGTACATTTTATTTCTTAGTCCAGCGCGGACTGCGGACCACAGGAGCACTCGATTTATAAAGGGCGTGAGTGGCCGGGTATTCTGAAGTTGCTCCACATATGTCATCTTACAACTTACCGAATATCACGCAATCGCCTTTTAGCAATCACTTTCATGATTATTTGCACTATTTAAACAGTAAAGTGTTTCTGTCGAGGAACTATCGGCTGATAGTTGACCCCCCCCCCCTTCAAAATATATTTACCCGATAAACGAAGCTTCTAGCTAACTTCGTGGCCGTCAAACCATTTAAAAAAAAAAATGACGACCTAAAATCATGAACTTTGGCAAAGAATGTTTTACAAAAGGCTTTAGAAGACTACTTTTCAGGCGTCTTTTTAGGTAGACTGTCCCTAAAAGTTGAAAGTACAGTTTAATAAAGAACCCGATGAAAAGTTCTGGGCTGCGCTGGTTTGGTGAACGCCAACATTGGACTGTTGATTAATGCAGCGAGTTCCGTCCTGGCTCTGATTTTGCTGCAGTGTTCCAAGAGGACTTAGTGACTGAGCGGTGACTCTGAGCGCCGGTTGCAACAGCTTAGCTCGCTGTCACTGAAGCCACAAAGTTGCTGATTATGGCTGAGGACTGCACTTGTTCAATTGTCAGTCTTTCGCGGTACGAACCGATTGAGGCATGACTTTTGTGGCTAGTAACACTTCTTACTCTCGAATTCCCCAGGCCGGCTGCCTCGAGGATGGTTACTGATGTCGCCCGAATACAGTGCCARCGATGCGAAGTGAGTAGACAGACTAGCTTTCTTATTCATGCGGCCGAGTAAATCTTGCAAGGTGTTTTTCCCTAAAGGGACACTGGAGCACCGCACCGCGTTGCTTTCATTTAAAATCGCCGGTGCTGTTGTTTCTTGGCCTTTGCCATAAGGTGAGCAGCTGGGTTTTCACATCAGATAGAATCGAGCAGTCTGAACTAGACTTTCGGAATGGTCGTTTCCTAACTGCTTCGCCGTAAACAGCTGCTGCACATCTTCGCGCTTTAATGCTTGCTTGTGTTTTATAGATCACAACACCCCCGTCTTCGCCAATTTTTTTAGGTGGTAATCTAAAGCCTCGTTAGATGGAACAAAAACTTTGTTGCGTGTGATTGAAATTGATCTTTGTTGCGTGTGATTGAAATTGGTTTCCTGTGTGGAGCTTAAGTAGGTACCGTTCAAGACCCGCTCGAATGGCTTTCATGGAGTTTCGCAAATAGTGTTGCCCACTAACTGTACGTGCCTTCACGTAAAATTTGCGAAGGACTTCAGCAAGTCTTTCTGCCGGAAACTCTTCAGTGCTTTCCGTTATTCCTTTCTCTCTAGACCAAGCTTAAAGGTAAAAACAATTTCATTGAATTTAACTTTTATTCGTTGTTGTGGTTTCTTGGTGGGTATCTTCTAATTCGTCAAATGCAGTGTAACTTTGAAATAAATGTCCTACTCAAAGTTTCCTTACCTTCAAAAATTTCAACCGCATACGAAGTCGCCTCCTTGGTTTTTCTGGGTATTCCCTCAATGACAAGGATAATCACATCTTCGCTGACCTCGGCGGATGGAGTAGCCTTACTTGTTACAACGAAGCCTACTTGTTTAGTCCAGAAAATTTTTCACCGAGCAGATGAGACGTAAAACCATCAGAAAAGTAAACAGTTGGCCAGCCACGAAAAAAACGCTTCGCTTTCCCCTATAAAATTCGCCGGTTACTCATTTTAACGATATATAACGATAGAAATACTGATGGCTCGCAGGGAGAGGAATGAAAGCTTGAAATTGTATTTAAGATCGATTGTGTCCTGGACGCTTTTTTAAAAGCAAAATATACCCGGGAACGGCGAGGAATATTCCACAATAATGCAAATGATGGCGAAAGATGATCGCGGAAAAGCGATTGCATTAAGCGTCTTTACTCATAGTTACACCTTTAGTCTTTCAAAGAGCTTTGACTCGGTTACACTTATGCTAATTGGGACGATTATTTTAATTAAAATCGAAGTCCTTCGAAGAAAGACCGAGTTAAATTTTAACGTCGCAGCATTACTTTGGAAAGGTCATAGAGGCAGCATTCCCGTATAATTTCGGAAGGTGGCTATAATTGGTCTGCCGTCGACATATGGATTTTTTTACATCTGAGTGAGTGACACATATGCATATTCTGCCCCACGACAAAAAATCAAATCAGTAAAGATGTATGTATGTATCAGTTATTTTGATTCTTTTTTCCCAGAAGGAAATTACACAAGAATAGATCTAGATTTAGGTACTTACGGCCAGCTGATTGGTGCAGATAAAACATGAAAGAAAAGGAAAAGTCAATCAAATTTTCTATTTATATGATTACAATACCACTAAGACTGTATAAGCTTCAGCGGTGAAATTTAAATGCGGTTTATCATGATGGGTGACAAAAAGTAGCATGTAAAAGAAAAATTTTTTCGTAAGCCGTGCCTTCGGCAATTTAGTTTCGCCTGCGTTGTGAACGGTTTGTTTGCTTTATCCCGGTCAAATTGATGTAGTCAGGCAATGTTGATGCGTCAATGACTATATTTCTATATTAGCTCTTTTTCAAATTAATATACCAGCGCTTGAGGAACTCAGTATACCCGAGAAAACTCGTAGTATTCATTCACAGCATAACAGTTGTCTGCTTTCAGAATAATTTACATCGAGCAGGGTATCTTGCAAGGTATAATTTGTTGTTTCCTGTCGCCAACTGAGTGCATTTGCAATTGAGTTTGCCAGGCGCTAAGATACAAATGATTAGGTCATCTCGTACATGAAATCGCAGACATCTTATTCTGCTTGTTACAGTTTATATCATTTGTTTTCATGGTAACTTTCNNTAATCAATAGATTATACTCGTTCTGGCCTTCAACATCAAAATGTACGCTGTATCCAAACTCAACAAACAGCACGGACAGACATGGATCAACCTTTAGAAAAGGTTGAATTTGTTCCAGTTCCCGTACCACAAGCTATTTCCCAACGAAGATGTTAATCAATTTGTGAAGAATAAGGCCGTCTCCGTCGGAAGCTGCGAAGGATATTTTATTCCTTCGCTGCTAACAACTACAGGCTTCATACTGGCATCCAACAGCGCTCAAGTTAACATCACCACACACAAGCAACCATTAAACATATTTTCTATATTTGTGGGATACCCCGGAATGGGTAAGTTCAACTAGAGTCTTTTTCACTTGCACTTTAACTTCTCGTAGTACCCATCACTTAATCTTGCTGTAGGTTCAATCAAAATCTAAAAGACCTTCTATTATGAGGCTATCAAAATTTTTGTTACTTTTGTCTCCTAAAGGAAAATCTTCTGCTATCCAGTATGCAGCCCAGGATCCAGTGGAAAATATAGGCTTAACCGAAGCCATAATAAGCAAAACCACCTCGTCGGGACTGGTAAAACTTCTTGCGAAGAAGAAGAAAGGAATGATTCTCTCTCCAGAGATCTTTGACTTATTAAAGAAGCTTCTTAAGTCCGATGAAGACAATGCTACCGGAGATATCCAGCTTCTCTGCAGACTATTTTCGGGCGAGCGCTGCTCATATCACTTCTCTACAGAGGAAAGCAGATTGATCCTTCCAAATACGCCCTTGTGTCTCCCTGACTCCACGCAACTGGTAAATGCTGCCAAACAGATCGCACGCATGGATCAAGGACACGGCCTAGGGGATAGAATCCTTCTTGCCACCCCCCTTGCCTTTCGTCCAACCCTTATTGAAATGGAGGCAGCCACCGATTATTCATCCACCGAGTTAGTAAGTGACTTCTCTGAAATGTTCGAGAGCATAAATGGAATTGACGAAAACGTTGACTTCGTCTTCGACGAAGGAGGGAAGGAGCTACTCAGGGAGAAAATAGACGAGTTCGTAGCTGAGGTCAATGAAGTCATCAGAAATGGGAAAGTGTCACCCAAATCAAAGACGCCAGAACTTATTCCGAGAATAGCTTGCGCTCTACATGTCTTTTATCACGCCCTGGAAGAACTATTGGCCGGTGTACCCTCTTCAGAGCCTGATACAACGATATCCAAAACAACACTAGAAAGTACACCATCTTTCGTGAATAACCTCGAGACACAGAAGGAAATACTCTGTCAGGTTAGCAATCATAACAACAAAAACTTGCATTTTTCTTTAATTACCTTTATTTTGCGCACATTCCAATTATTATTATTAGAAACTCGGCCTTGTCCTATTGAAAATCCGCTTATTTCATTTTTTCTATAAATGTATTCTATTCGCCGATAGAAAATGATGACGTGCGCAAAGCTCTTTGAATGATTTATCCACATCTTAGAGAGCTTTGCACTTGAGTTTAGANNAAATGAAATTAATATACCAACGCTTGAGGAACTCAGTATACCCGAGAAAACTCGTAGTATTCATTCACAGCATAACAGTTGTCTGCTTTCAGAATAATTTACATCGAGCAGTTTATCTTGCAAGGTATAATTTGTTGTTTCCTGTCGCCAACTGAATGCATTTGCAATTGAGTTTGCCGGGCGCTAAGATACAAATGATCAGGTCATCTCGTACATGAAATCGCAGACATCTTATTCTGCTTGTTACAGTTTATATCATTTGTTTTCATGGTAACTTTCACCATCACAAAGATCTCTTTCGTACTATTGAGGCTCTTCATTCAAATTAAAGATGAACGCATTTGACAGCATTCGACGAATAACCAACATTACTGTAAAACTATCTTCCCATATGACATGCGCTAAGGCTTTATTTCGTTATTAGGAGATGTTCTTGTAAATTGGGCTCTTGGTGCACAATTTTTTCTTTCTTTCTTTCTTTTGAAAAAAAATTCTTTGCAAGTCAGCATGATTGTTATTATTTTTTGCAATACTTTAAGGGTGGAAAAAGCACAGCCCACAATAAATATTAAAATATATACGAGAATTTAAAAATAAATGAACTACCGTACTTACTGCATTGTTCGTCTGATCCATCACTACAGTGGCTGTTCGCATCGCAGCGGTCAGACGCATGGATACACTTCTGTTGATTTGCACAAGCAAACTGATGGACTGCACAAGTTACTATGAGATGATGAAAAGAAACACACGAATTGTGACAAATCGTTTACACTTCATGTACATTGATGTACAAAATTCATTTACAAAAAAAAAAGAATAGACAACGAGTATTAAGGGCTACATCACGTAAGGGCTACATCACGTAAGGGCTACATCACGACTCATGCAAGCACTGTCACAATTGAAAACCCCATGAATGGGCGGTTAGCAGCTTAATTTCAGGGACTGATCTTTTGTAGCTGACATTGTGAAGTTACATTTCATCAGAGATCAAGATTGATCTCTACGCGGTTTTCTTTTTTTTCTGGAAGGCACTCGCGATGGGTCGGAGTACTCTTAATGGCGACGCTTTTAATCTCTTTTCAGACTAAGCTGCAGACAATCTCTTAATAGCACAGAATTTCTGCATTTCTCTTTTGTCAAAGTTTTTCTTACCTTTTTCTACTGACATTAAGCGTGTTGTTTTATTAGGAAAATTTGTTTTTTTAATAAAGTTATCTTCCCTAGAAAGCTGTTATTTTTGTGTTCCGTCGATTTCCCGATAACGCGTGTTCGAGTGAGCTTTTCTGCTTTTTTGTATTTGATGCTTTAGCCTGGCAGAATATCGCCGTCAGATTGTCAGATTATGTTTTCGTCCATTGAGAAAGCCCTGAAATTTATTGAAACTCTCAGAAAAAGATCAGAAGGAACCGGGTGTACATTCTAAATTGCAAGGAAACAGTTGCCGCTGACCCTCGACTTCTTCAATTCTTTTTTTTTTTGTCCATTTTTTTAAGGTCGGTTTGATTTCTCATTTCCCTTAGTATGAGTGTATCGACTAATGGTATTTTGGGGAGGGAAATGAAAAGTTTATTCCAAAAGAATAAAAAAAATAAAAAAAATAAAAAAACGCGGAGGATAGATAAGGGATACGGAAGAGACCTAATAATGCTATTAATAAATTTCAGCTGTCAAAAAGGCAAAGGAATTTAAAAATATCATTTAAATAAATGAGCAAATTTATGAATTTGATGTTATTGTTGTTGTTATTGTTTTGCATTTATCTTCTCATGCGACCTCCCTATCAAGCACTGGCTGACTTTGTTTTTGTTCCGGCCTATTCTTTTTTATTCTTCCTCTAAAAAAGAGAAAGAAGCTTTTTATTTTCACTATTACGATCGCGATCATGTTCAATTTCAGACTTCCTCTCGGCTACATGCAAACCAATCGTAAACCAAAAGACAATTGTGAAAGGCGCATTCATAATACAACATTCGTTTAATGCTGCTACTATAGCAATATGCATGGAGACTATACAAATAAATATAAACCTAAGGTCCCTATTGTTAGCTGATTGGTGCAGGTAAAAGAAATGAAAAAGAGGAAAAGTTAGTCGAATGATCAGATAGTTTTATGACAATACCACTAAACTCTATTCACTTTTGCGCTAAAATCATAATTTCATTAACCAAGGGCGAGAAGAATTTATGTGTGAGGAAGAATTTATCCGTGAGCTCCACATTCAGCATTTGTTGAAGCTCCTCCGGCCCCAGACACTGCTCCAGTCACCAACCAATCACAGCGTTTACAAAAAAAAAGTGGCGCGAAGTGCTTTGTATACAAGCCACACGCGAGGCCAATCCCACACGCTGAGTAAATCTCATAAATGACATTGAGTGTGTGCTATTGTTTACAGTTGTTATTTAAGGTCAATGGTGTTTTTATCCCCAATCTATTTCCATTTGTGATTTTCAATACCTAATCGATGCATTTCCTTTGCCTATAACTCAGATGGCTCGTCCGCAATCAAAAAAAGGGCCTCTTGAATAGCTTTGTCCATACAACAGCATTATACAACCACCGCACCATGATATCACGTGACCTATCGAGTAGCTCCGTTCATATATGAACAGAAGAATAGCTTGGACAATAGTGTGGGTAGACGTGTCATTTTTTCGCGCTCCTCCCCTCCGAGCGCATTAGTCACCACTGGCCTTTTACCTGAGATGTGTTCTCTTTTTTGCGTGTGTGCTTTTTTTCTTCTATAATGTGAGCATTACATGGTTATTTGATTTCGACCTAACGTCACAAGTAGTGAGTGAATCATTTCTGTCAAAATTTATAGACATTACAATGAGTTGTTTATAGGTCTTTTTAAGTAACAAATTGAGACCAAGATCTTTTTCGGATCCAGAAAAGCCTGTTCAGACTAGGGTTGAAATATTTGTTTTTAATTTTCTCTAGCAGGTAAAATTTTCATATGCAAATATTCTGTTTACTTATTAGGGTAGCAGTGAGAACTAAACATAACCTATTATTACACTAACATACTTGCGGATGTGAACGGAACAGCTACCAGCATGAACAGTAGAACAGCCTGAGGATTCATGACAATCTAAGTGGAAAGTCAAAAGGTTATTTAATTTATTTATCATATTTTTTTTTTGGCGGGGGGGGGAGCTGGTGGAGGAGAGCAAAAATTACAATTACTTGCTGAGTGTCGTGAAGTCAAGATAAGCATTCCCACCGATAAATAAGGGGGAAAAAGAAATTGTTAGATCTTACGGACTATTTAAAGATTTCTATAGATAGATGAAACCATTTCCAGGAAGTATTTAAATTGGAGAGAAAAATCTCGTCTTTTTAAAATGTTGTTTTCACAAATGTCGTGTGGAACCAATAGAAAAATACTGAGTGTATATTTAAGAAATTACGGCTCGTATCAAACTGACAAAATTAAAGCATAGAGATTTATCGATTCATAAATACCTTTTGATTAAGTATATTACTCT